AAATCACCCCTGACAGGTTGCGACTAGTACCCATACTAGTGCGTCGATATCAGATCGCAAACACATAGTGACACGTAGTCACTTAGTACTGCTAGTACTTGTTCCCATCGCGTTTACGTCTGTAGTTCTATCGTGCGTCTAGGTTTCTAACAATCACAGTGAAACACTTTTTTTGTGGGATAGTTAGTCACGGCACCGCGCCAAACGGCCAACGGCGTGCCGTGCCCCGGGGTGCCCACCCATTTTGCTGGCTGCTTCGAAAGCCACTTCTTGGTTACCTTTATTCAAAGGAAAAATGATTTAACATTTTCAGAAGTAAAAATCCCATCAATGCGTTTTTTGACAAAAAAATTTTGCATTCGAGGAATTGTAAGTGAATTTTCGATACTATGCTTTTTCCTTACGATAAAAGCCAGTTCTAGTACTTGGTTAATACCTCAGATATATCAAATGTAAAAATGTCTGGGTCCGGAAGAATGCAAGATTTGTCATGCATATTTCTCATGACCCATGATGCCTGTAATGCTTGAACTAGCATCGCAGACTTTTAGAGGGCTTCCTGATGCACCTTCCGCATGAGAAATGGCCTGTCTATGTAGCAAAAAATGTAACCATTTTGCTGGTCATGCAATACAATTTTTTTTAGAGTCCAAAAACAGCATGACAAGTTCCAATCTTCCAGACCCAGACATTTTTGCATTTGATAAGATAAATTCACTCCGAGCTCCACCCGCTCCGCGTGCCAGCAATTGTCCCGCTGGTCATGACCCAGCATAGGCACGCACAGCACCGGCACTGCGTACCCAATGGCTTCGGACAAGCTCGCGCCGCCGCCATGGCAGGCGTAGAAGGTCTTGTATTCGTTTTCCCGCAACATTTGGAAGAGTTCCTTTTGCGGGGACCGGCTCACGAAGAAAAACAGGTTTTCGTTGCTTTCTTCCTGCTGCAACCGGTTCAGTTCCCGGGAAATCAGCTTGTCGCTGCTACCCTCGTCTTCCGGGAGAAAGTGCACACTGCTGGAATCCGCGACAAATGTCGGCGGCACGACCATGTAGAGGGCGACCCCTCGCGGCTTCAGATGCGTTTTCCACTCCTGGAGCAGTTCCCGGACTGCCTCCACCGCGAATTGATAGCCTTGCGAACCCATCGCGAAATAGAGAACTCCGCCCACAGGATTTTCGTTTCTTTTCAATTTCTCCAGCACGACTTGAACCTCCGGAGACCAGGTCGTTTGTGAAGATGTAGTTGAGTTGATCGTCGGCAGTTCGGTCACCAATGCGACGCGCACCTCTCCCCTCACATCCGCCTTGACCATGGGAAAGCTTTGTATTTTCTGGGTCATCAAGTTCGCGAGGAGCTTTTCGGAGTCTACATCTGGGGTGCTATATTTTTGGGCATCCAAATAATCTGGGTGCAGTGCGAGGTTGGTTCTTCCCTCGGCGTTCCAGGAGTGCTCCCAGTTTAAAAAGTGGACGCCAAATATCGTACGAAAAAAGCGAGTTTCACTGTAAGAATTTTGTTTTTGCAAGTTTTGCATAATACAGGTTCGTGGCTCCTACACATGACCAAGAAATAAACTTGCCATGCGTGCTTCCTAAGGCAAAACACGTTGAAAATCCCAAGAATGTCTTGCATGTGTAGCAAGACAAATTAAGTTGTGTGCTCAGTTCTATGCATCACAAGTTCACAGTGAAGCAGTTTTTTCGTGCGATACCAAAAGACGGGAACACGACACTCGTCTCGCGACTTCTCATCCATGTTTTGTGCCGGGAGCACGAGAAGTAGGATCCGAACCAAACCAACCCCGGAACCTTGAAGTTCCAAATCAGCTTGGCCACCACCGTCGCCAGGTTGTCGCCGGGCCACACATTGGTGTCGGTCACCGCAAAATCCACGGGGCCCAGGCTGTCCGCCCCGAAAATGTGTTTTGTCAAAAACTGGCGCGGCCAGTCTCGGTTGTCTTGTTCGCGGAAAACCCAAGTAGAGCCCTCCGGATTTTCACCCGCGTCCGTCAAAAACAAACGCGGCAACATCTGTCGCACCGCGGTGTTGCTTTTCACACTCCAAAAGTATCTTCGGGGGCGGCAGGGCACGAACTCCACTCCGGCGGCGCCGAGGCTCTTCATCTCGCTTTCGGACACAGCAAAGTCCCAAATAACACTAACATTCTCCGACTTCCTCTCCGTCCAGACCTTCCCGTTGTGCTGCAGCCGATCGTACTTTCTCAGTTGTTTCGCAAGATAGGTCTTGTCTCCCTCGAGGGCAGGATCTGGAAGATCTCCTTCCACATCGCTGCTCGCCGCTGCCGCTGGTGGTAGCAGCTGATCCGCATACACAATCACCCGCTCGCCGGTCGCCGGATCCTTTTTCTGTATCAACTTTCCCACCGGGCCAACAAAGGTGACTTTAACGTGCGCCGTTTTTGCCAGCTGCTTCATCAAGTTATACGCGCCTGTCAGGGTGGTTTTTCCGAACGTTTCGAAGAAAATGTGCACCGGACGCACCGCTCTAGTACTATAATTCGCTCTTGTTGTTGTTTTTCCACCCGGAACCACGGAAGTAGACAACAGGCCTCCAACTGTTCTTGAGCCAGCAGGTTCTGCCTGGAGGCCTGGAACCCACGATTGCGCCATCGCTTCGTAGTCCTGCGTATCAACTGCAAATATATCTGGGTCTGGGAGAGTGGGAATGCAACTTGTGATGCTGCATTTGGATTCCAACAAAATCTGTATTGCATGGGCAGCAAAGGGAGTGTGATTTTTGCTACGCGGAGAGTGCAAGCATGTGTCATGCGGAATACGCTGCATCAAGATCATGCTCTCAAAAAATCTAATCTGTGATGCTAGGGCATGCATCACGGACATCATGGCTCATGCAGAACGTGCATCACAAGCCTGGCAATCTTCCAGACCCAGACCCTTTTGCATTTGATACTCCGCACTGCAGCGGAAGACGTCGCCGACATCGGTCCATCCCCCCTGTGGACGCAGTTCCTCCTATCCTGAGTAAAAACGTACCCACGCCAGAGTTGTAATGCAGATTTGCAAAGACAGGAAGGCTTGTAATGTGCATCCCCATGAGAGCCATTTCCAATCGTGTTTTGGAATTTGTGGTGCCATGAACAGGATGAGCAGATGAATTTGTGATGCGGCTGCACTTGCTAACCAGCACTACACTGCAGAGTGCAATTTGTCATGCGTGACTCCCAAAACTCCTAGGTTTGTGTTGCAAAATCCCCATCTTGACTCTGGTGTGGGTACGTTTTTACTCAGGATAAGGAGAGGCTCTTCTGCCCCCCTGGCCAAGCCACTCCCTCGCTTTCGTTTTCCTGCCCCGCGCTTTATCAAATGTAAAAATGTCTGGGTCTGGAAGATTGCGAGATTTGTCATGCATATTTCGGATCACGCAAAAGGCGTCTGATGCGGGCAAAAGCATCACAAGTTTTGAACACGCCTCATGATGCCTGTCCCGCATGAGAAACTTCCTACTTGCGTGCCAAAAATTGGACTGCTTTTGGCGCTCATGCAACACAAATTTTTGTGTGTTCCACAGTTTGCATCGCAAGTTCCAACTCTTCCAGACCCAGACATTTTTACATTTGATATCACGCTTTGTTGGACTACAATGACGACAGTCACAACAACAGCGATAAGGACGGCTCCCCCTACCGCGACCAGCGCAGCAATCGCCCAGCAGGGCAATCCACGACGAGACGTATCCATTGGAAAAATGTAGCGGTCCTCACAGGGGTCGACGAATTCGAATCTACTATAAGCACTTAATTATAAACTCGGTTAGTCTTGTTCACACCAAAAACTTCTGTACATTTGCTTGGGCAGCAGGAAAGATGAGCGATGACCTTGGGAGATTTTTGTATAGAGACGAAATAGAGGAGGAGGAGGATCCTTCACACCTGTTTTTAGCTATACATATTGCTATCAAGTGGAACATGATGTCGCAGACCACCCGGAATAGGTGATCTTCAGCACTGTTCTTATCCCTAAAGAAATTCGCAGCATACCGTCGCGATTTGCCTTTTTTTTTGCGCCAACGCAGGCGCTGCAGTTTTTATGGTCGCGCCTGCGTAGAAGTGCTGTTGCCTCCCCTGGTGGGTTTTTGCACGCGGCCCAGGCGTCGTTCTAGAGGAACCAGCAGGCATTTCAGCACCCCGGCGAAGCTAGGCATAGACTAATGAGGCCCCCCCACTGCGCAGATCGACGCGCCCAGCGGGCACTCACAACACAGCCATCCGCCGCAGGCGAGCATCTTTTCCGCGGCCCCGGGCCCTACGTACTCGCGACCCAAAAAAGGCCGCAAGCCGGCTTGTGCGGACTTGGTGCGCAGGCCCCTCGTGACCTCTTGGAACTCATCAAGCGCAACCCAATCTCCCACCCACCGCCCCACTCACTCACCGTTGGCACCGCTTTCTGTTCCCATCTATGCACGGAGATGATTGGACGATCAGAATTGAAGCTTCTCCTCCAGATGTTCCCGCTCTCGCAAAAATGCTGTTCTTATCCTCCAAATGGTGCATAGATAAGAACATGTTTGTAACGACCTAAAAATGGTGTTCTTATCTATGCACGAACAGGAGGGATAAGAACAGCATTTTTGAGAGAGCGGGAACATCTGGAGGAGAAGCTTCAATTCTGATCGTCCAATCATCTCCGTGCATAGATGAGAACTTCTTTATCTATGCACGGAGTTGGAGGATAAGAACAACAGAAAACGAGAGCGGGAACATTTGGAGCCGAAGCTACAACTCTGCTTCATCCCAAAACACCGCAGCAGGTCGGTGCAGTAGTGTTCTTTTCTATGCACGAGCGGGAACGTGCGCAGCTGAAGCAGCATCTTTGCTTCGTGGACCTGGTCCCATAGCCATATACATATCATTTTATAGAGCCAGCGCCCCACCGGTCCTAATTTAGGACCGACGGCACGGCGCAGGCACCAAAGACAACACCGGAGGGGCCATCATCTGCTGCTTGACACAAAGAGAGACGAGTGGGCGCGCACACTGCCGCGGCCCGGTGCGACCGCCGGCGTAGCCCCGGCTTGGGGGGGATCTTTGGGGAAAAAAAGAGCCCCTCCAAGCTGGGGCATCAGCTCGCACCCAGGCGCGCGAACTTGGACACAGTGGCCGGCGGTTATTCTGTCAACGCGCAGCGCGTTCCCTGGCGCATGCGCTGGGGCTGCGCTAAGCACGAAAGCGCGACCCTCTGGAGGATTTTGTCATGGCAGCAGGAAAGCGCGACCCTCTGGCAGCAGGAAAGATGAGCGATGACCTTGGGAGATTTTTGATGCAGAAAAGGAGAAATAGGCAATTGGGATTAAAGGGTCTTCTGTCTTCTCTTCGAAGCCTAGATGTAAAATTTGCCGTCGATTTTTTGTAAAATTGGGGGCGGTGTGGGGGGTCGATTTCCGCAAATTCAAATAAACCTGTGCCCATGCTAGTGCTACAAATTATACAAGTAAATCTTACAAGGGGTACAGGCGGTTTCAAGTTTTCTACTGGTAAAAATCTGAAAAATGTGTGCAATTTCTTGTTACGCAAGACAAATAAAAGGCTTGAAATGTAAATAGGTGCGACGAGATTGCTACAAACCTAGACGCACGATCAACAAATAAATAAGCAGATAACACGACGTGCGCAAGTTCAAGTACTACTACTATGTGCTTGCGTAGCACGATGTTAGTAAAAATGATAGACGTACTAGGATGTGCACTAGTTGCAACCTGTGGGGATAGGCATGGTAGCAAGAGGATGGGCAATATGCATGACCAACAGGATGGCTACGGCTATCGGAGAATGATCATGGATTTCAGATCGAGGGCACTACAAACCCGGGGGATTTGACACCAGACCAGATGTGCACGGCGATTTCCGTCGTGTTATGCTTCTGATCGTCGCTAGGTCATTAATAAGATTCCGATCCATCAAACATCTTCATATAATTAGTTGTGGACTCGGTAATATCAAAAACAATCATCCTTGTTGGAATCTCTTCTGGAAATCGAAATGCTTCTTATTCTTTCGGATGAATATAATTGGCCGCATGACAACTCGATCGGCATGTTCTTGTTCTTTACGCCATAATAAGTAGGCACAAACTATCAGACAAATGCCTCGATTTTTCGTCATGACATGTGGACGCGAAAAGGAAAAAACGCAGAACGCGTCTTCTCCCAAAAATCGCTAGTTGAATGGTCCGACTCGTCATCCAAAAAATTTGTCTCATCATAAATTAATTGTGTATTATTGCAGATCACGCATCAGAAACTTGGTTTTTTCGGATCATCATGCGGCTTGACAAATTCATCATGCAGGCCTTGATCTGTTGTTCCTACCGCCGGATCGATCTTTGTTTTTGTATAAGAGAAAACCAAAGGATTTTGCTGCACACGACTCACGATCATGGAGGATCCATTTACAACTTGAACTTCTTGAGCTTATCACTTTCATTTGATCTCAATGACCGTCAACGATCTCCACGAAAGTTGTATCTCTGATCTCCCTGGAAATGACCGGTGTCCGAAGCTAGTACAACTTCAGATTGCAATATTGGGAGATGAGTCACAACTTATCAGAGCTTCACCATGACAACCCCACAATGATGGTGCAGAGGAACCTCTCAACTGCACACGGGCGGCCCTCGTGCAGGAGCCGCCATCTCCTAGCATCTGAAAAATACTCAGTCTCGTCCACCATCCAGGATCATTTATTACTTATTTGGATTTGCATTTCTAATTGGATCAGATCTTCTTTGACGCGTATCAAAGTCTGGCCTGGGAGGTGCGACTGCGAGTGCGATCTCTTTGAAAATGCATGCACGACCCTTCGAGGCTCTGGTCTACGGATCTGTCCAGAGCGGTCCCGTCGCCAAGCCTTGCTGAGGGTCCTCTACTCGGAGCTCTGGCTAGGTGTACGGTCCCGAAACGACGAAAACCGCGCGGAATTTACCAACCTCCGATACTCGGTTCCGAACATCCAGCCAGATCTTGACATTGGCGCACGATGGCGCTACCTACACTGCGACGGCGCATTAGCTGTCGAACATGGGAAAAAAAACCTCTGCGAATCTATTGGGAAACTTCGCCCGAGTTTGTCCCCCTCCGCAGATGCCAACTGATCGGCCTCTTCGGGAGGGGTAGTTACATCGGGATTGGCGATTTTTTTGGGGGGTGTTTCGTAGGCCATTTTGCCGGCCACTTCGCGGGCCCTTTGGGGGCCCTGTGTTGGGGCAGGCCTGCGTGCCCGTTACTCTTTTCGCTGCGGTCCGCAGCAGGTGGCCTCCGCACTTGCGTATTGCGAACTCGTTCGCAAATTCGCAGTAGACACCGAACGTCATGAGATGGCCCACCTACTGTTTCAACCGGAGTAGATGACTTTGCGCACAACCAGAAACATGTCCGAGCTCGCCACGACGTACCGATAGCGCTCCGGACAGATCCGTGGGCCAGCCCTTCGTGGAAGACGAGCAAGCTACTACCTCTGAGTTAGACAACTGGTAACGCATGCAAAATTCCACCTAGTTTGATTAGCTAACTCTATCTAGTTTGGTATAGCTAGTTGCCGACGTGCCGCACAAACATCAAAAAAAAAATTCTAGTACTTTTGAAAAAGCTACTTTAGGCGCGCCATATGGGAGGTGCGACTGCGAGTGCGATCTCTTTGAAAATGCATGCACGATCATTCTGATCAAGCACACGACCGAATAAGAACTGCAAAAAAAAACCGACAAGGAGCTTCAAAAACATAATTATCTTGATCATCTTCTTCTTTCCTTTGCATTGCAGCTATAGGAGGTGTCAACAAAAAGCTCTTGTCTTTCCTGGTCTGATACCAACACGAACGGGGTAGCGATTTTTCTGATGAAGACCAGGTGGAAATAAACAAGACCACTGCCCGCATTTCTTCTTTCACTGTTCCTCGGACCACCACGAAGGCGTATGTTGTAGTCGTCCCCGCAAAGCTGCAACTAGAAATGTGTTCAGTTCTGATGTCATCCTCGGTTTGAAAAAAAAAACGACATTTTCAGCGGAGGTCGCTGCTTCCATCATTTTCATTTCAGCTCGTCGAAAGTGCTGGGGCGTAAGACCAAAACCGAGGAGCTCGGGTGGTGGTCTTACGTGACATAAACATCATCGGAGTGATGTTTAGTAAAGTCAGAAAAACTACATGTACTACCTTTCATCATACACGACATGACTTCATCATACAGCACGACATAAAAATGTAAAATAAAGACGCAACAAGTGAAGACGATCCCGATCCCCTGCACGCTTTTGCTGCGTCCTCAAATCACAAGGAAAATATACGTACAGCGGCAGTGGAGTTCTCGGTTAAAATAAAAATATACTTTTTTTTGTGTGCCGCGAGATGAACAAATACTCCTCCTACAACTACTTCTCTTGGTAGTTGTACAAGAGGTGTGATGCACGAAATTATCGCGTAGAAGATCTACGCAGCTGCAATGTAAATTCTGCAGAGGAAACCCTCAACTGCTGCATTCTTTAAAAACAGTAGTGTTGCATTTTTTAAAAAGTTTCACAATCATACACGTACTTCTCAAATAAAGTGCTTGGTCTATCCTTCCTTTTCTCTCTTGGTCGTGTTTGCAGTTGCTAGTTGCCCGCAGGTCAGTCCCTAGTCTTTTAGAAAATATAACTTCATCATACAGCACGACATAAAAATGTAAAATAAAGACGCAACAAGTGAAGACGATCCCGATCCCCTGCACGCTTTTGCTGCGTCCTCAAATCACAAGGAAAATATACGTACAGCGGCAGTGGAGTTCTCGGTTAAAATAAAAATATACTTTTTTTTGTGTGCCGCGAGATGAACAAATACTCCTCCTACAACTACTTCTCTTGGTAGTTGTACAAGAGGTGTGATGCACGAAATTATCGCGTAGAAGATCTACGCAGCTGCAATGTAAATTCTGCAGAGGAAACCCTCAACTGCTGCATTCTTTAAAAACAGTAGTGTTGCATTTTTTAAAAAGTTTCACAATCATACACGTACTTCTCAAATAAAGTGCTTGGTCTATCCTTCCTTTTCTCTCTTGGTCGTGTTTGCAGTTGCTAGTTGCCCGCAGGTCAGTCCCTAGTCTTTTAGAAAATATAACTTCATCATACAGCACGACATAAAAATGTAAAATAAAGACGCAACAAGTGAAGACGATCCCGATCCCCTGCACGCTTTTGCTGCGTCCTCAAATCACAAGGAAAATATACGTACAGCGGCAGTGGAGTTCTCGGTTAAAATAAAAATATACTTTTTTTTGTGTGCCGCGAGATGAACAAATACTCCTCCTACAACTACTTCTCTTGGTAGTTGTACAAGAGGTGTGATGCACGAAATTATCGCGTAGAAGATCTACGCAGCTGCAATGTAACTTCTGAATTCTTGAAAGAACTGTAGCTCCTAGAGATGTTGAACTGTACTAGCGGCCACGACTTGGGTAGGGAGCCACTCGGGAGGCGGAGGTCGTGAGCTACGAATGAATTCTGTTGACTAGTTGGCTTTACTCCCTGTCGCCCGCTACGAGGCAGCTCTTGGGTCAACGTTGAGAGTAGAAATCATCTGATGTGCTGTGCTCGCTTCTTTTTAAAGGCGTCGAGCGGGTTGTTGTATAAAACTGTAGTTTTAGATGAACTTTGTTGTACTACTTGTACTTACGTGGGTAGAAGAAGTTCTATAATTTTCATTTGAGAGTAGAAGTCTGAGACTAGAAAGTTTCAACGTGGTGAGCAGTAGTCACTGCGATTCGGTAAAATAAACCTTTGGTTGCTGAAGGACAGCACACAGCAGTCATTGTCGTAAAAATAAAGTAAATTTGGATTGGAACTACGGCAACTTTGCCGGAAAAATCCTTTTGGTTTCTCCACTTGGAGTTGGATCATGTCGATGTTGTAGCGAAAAAAATGCGTCAGAATAAAGAACCTTTTTAACCAGTAAAGACCTTGAGTGCAGCGTCAGAAAGAACGAATCTCCTCATGAGGATCAACATCTTGTAGCCGGGGATCATTAACGTCATCGGCTCCTTCTCCGAGGACAATAGGTAAGAAGTTATCTCCGTTCGATGGCATTCGAGTAGAAGGACCTCTGAAGATGTCCCGTGAAGATTAACATCAGTCGCGGTGTTGGACATCGCAATTGAGTTGAAAAGTCTCACCAATCTCCTGTTCCAGTTTCTGAATTGCCTTAGCACACGCCCGAGCCTCCGCCGAAAGCTGTTGCTTTTTCGCTTGCGATATCCAGTGCAAATATGTCTGGGTCTCCTGGGAAAAACCTGTAATGCTGAGTGGTCATCATTCACTGGGCCTTCAACTGTACCTGTAGCGAAGCATGACAAGAAATTCATCTTTCGCTCTCTCAAGTCTCATGCTGCGTAGTGCGCATTACAAACTGCGAGTTTGGTCGTGCACGACGGAGGTGTAAGTACCACCGCTTCTGCTGCTTGAATATGTATGCAATACTTGCAGCTTGTTTTTCAGGCAAAATTTTTATGCCAGACACACAATACACCCACAACGAACCTTTCTTCATCTAGACCCAGACGCAGACATATTTGCAATGCATATTTGCTTGACCTTTCCCGCGAAAAACAGCGGCGGCTACCCCGCCCACGGCCGCGCCGGCCCCCGCGGCGGCTACAGCAACCGGCTCACCCGCACCGGTGCAGCGAGCCACGTTACAAGCCAAATTAGCTACTGCACATCCAGCCGCGAACATTTCAGCCATTCGCTGTCCGGTTTCATCCCTTTCGATGGCCATACGATGAGGGTCCTGCTGCTGCTGCTTAATGATTTCTTGCTTCCGCTATCCCACGAAAAAACTGTTTCACTGTGATGCTGGTTTTGCAAGATCCGCATCACAAGTTTGCTACACATGACACAGAAAATTTGCCATGCGCGCTTTCCAAGGGGGAATACGCTTAAAAATCCAATGCCTCGCAGGTGTAGCAAGACAAATAGTTCTGTGCTCCATTCTATGCATCACAAGTTCACAGTGAAACAGTTTTTTCTTGCGATATCCGCTTCAGAATCTGCAGTAGCTCACGCCGGTCCTGGCGAACCGTGTTCTCTAACTTTCTGATTTCGCGGCGGAGTCTATCGTAAGGAAAAATCCCCCCTCCCCATATTGAAAACGTATCCGTCTGAAAATTTGTGATGCGCATTTGTGACCTCAAATCCTGTCGGTCTTGCAAGAAGGCAAGTCCAGAGAGCGCCCCGCATTTTGCAGGCGGTTTGTGATGCTGTTGGGCTTAGAGCATACACGTTTGTCATGCTAGGCACCTACGTCAAAACCTCTCGACTGAGGCTTGGCATATGCCTGCAGTCCTCTATTGCAAGACAAATGTGATTTGTGTACGGAAATCCAGCATCAGAAACTTCGTTTCGATATGGGGAGGGGGGATTTTTCATTTTGATAGAGTCTTTGCCCTTGACGGCTCCACCGAAACTCCTGCGCCCCATATACAATACCCATTCCGCAGCCCACAACAACCGCAGCGGCCCCCCCAACGGCACAACCGCCAAAGCAGGTGCTTGCAACGGGGGTAGGGTAACTATGCACAGTTGTCGCGGCAAGGGTGTTTAGGCCACCGCAGACCGCGGGCGACGCCCCCATACCAGCAATCAGCTGGCCTTTTTTTTTGCCCCGTGTCGGGTTCCGCTCCTTCACCTTGCGTTCCAGTTCCCGCGCTTTTCCCTTCAGCTGGCATATTCGCTCTAGATTTTCTTCAATCCGGCGTCGCAGCCGCCGCTCGGCATCGTTTAGTACTTCCTATCCATTGCAAAAGTATCGCACTCGAAGAAATGCATTGCAAATTTCCCCAGCATGAGGTGGTAATGCGGATTTACTTTTAGAAAAAAATTTGTAATGCATGATTGCAATAGTACGAGTGCGATATTTATTTTGCACAGGATACTTCCTTTGTGACAACCGGAGTTGGAGTTTTAGGAACTCCTGCCCAGCGAGGTGGACGAGGTGGACCGGCGAGGGTAACCGCGAAAGGACCACCCTTCTGATCCGGCGAGGCGGACCGACCACGCGACTCCGCCGAAGAAGACGCTTGAACCCGCACCGCCGAAACGAGGCTCACTTCAGTCGACGTCAGGTTCAGCAACGAGGAGAAAAGCACCGAGCTGCCGGCAACGGCGCCAGCGGCTGCCAACTTCGTAAATACAGACGGGGCCATTTTTGTTTCGGGTAGAAATTTACTATACTGCACGACGAGAACAACCTCGGAGTCAATTTCTTCGCTTTTCGTTGTAGACAAGGACGGAGGAAATAGTAGGAAAAATTAACAGGTAGTTTTGAGTGCGTCTAATTTCGATCAGAAATACGGGTACTACTAGGTGTAGGAGTAGGTTGTGATTGTAAGTAATATAACAAACTCTATGTTGGTGGAATCGAAGACGTACTCGTCAGTGCAAAGAAAGATGAAGGCTACTTACACAACTGTGCTCACAGTGTGGTCCTCTAAGTGCTTGCCGGTGTAGCTTGTGTCGATTAGGGTGGTTTTTGCTGAGCTTCGTACTAGCTATGACAGGCAGAAGGTGTTTAAAGGTGTGGTCTAGGAACGTTAAAAGCAAGCGCTTCAAGTTGGAACTGTGTGTCGAGCTGTTGGGAAATAGTCCCAATCCTGTCTGGCAGTGGTCGTTGGATCGTACTCGAGAGAACACAGGGCGTGCTCCACGTCTAGTCTCCATGAGCGGAGTGCATCTAGCTACGATGGCACGACGTGCATTGCTAATCTCTATTCGGTAACAAATAGCCATCTTGGCCCTGTCTAGTGTGTTCAGGTTTTCATGTGAATGGTGTGCATCTATTTCCCTATCTGGTGCCCTATACATTTATGATTTTCTATGAACCTAGCTACTTTGCATGATCTCCCTACCTGTTTCGTAGGCCTATGATCCTCATGAGTTCTTGCACAATTTGGATCCACGACATTAGTAGGATTGGGGATTTTACCGATCCAAACACGAGCAGTTTATTGAATCTCCGGGATCATTCATTAAGTTCAACAACGCATTGCGTTACGATTTCCCACCGAGATACTTTCTCTCAGAAGCGGAATCAAAAAACTTCGGCGACAACACGTATCCTGTTTCTTGTAGACCGAGCTGCATTTCTAGATCCCACCTCACCACTTTCGAGACCGATAACACTATCACTAGACCATGAGACATATGAAATCCAACTCGACACTAAATTCATTCAGATTTCTCTTTGCACCAACAACAGGAGGGGCTTATGAATGTAAATAAATGCGGAGGATTTTTTGGATCATTTGCAGGACCATTTTAATTGCAGCGTGCTGATCATGTGCTGACTTTTTATCACTCGCTCTTGCGTCAGATCTTCTTTACCACATAATTCTGGTTCTGATGGATCTGGGTAAGGTGGTCTACTCTGCAGCAAATAAATTGAAATGGAAATAATTTCTGATCCACATCGTTATCGAAAACGAGAGTAGTATCCCAGTGAAATGAAAACCGACGAAGAACAGCGTAGTTATTTTGCAGCGAACAGTAAACTGGTGTGTGCTCAACACGACGCACAGTGCGACGCGATGCGCATGGTACTCAGACAATGCGACCACTCTGCTTCGTCTGTATAATGATCACGGAGGCGGGTCATACGTCATGTAGCTCTAGGAGCCACACAACATACATCTTCACGTCAACATCGTACATCGTACATAATCACGTACTTTTTCCACTCTCTGATGATCATCTTCCATGCAGCTAGAATTTTTTTTTACAGTAGAATAGCACTGTCATCCTTCTCCTGCTCCTGCTCTTGTATGTGCGACGAAGCACGAGGGTGTAGTACACAACTTCTGCGCTCGTGCGTGCACAAGAAATGGAGCAACATCTTCAATGCGTCGCGAGAGTTACCGTCTTCAAACAAGTTGGCCTTCTTTATGCTAGAAGGTTTGGGCTACAGGGTCATTTCATCGCGTCCTGCTTCTCAGGAAACGACGAAACGAAATAAAACGTGGACCAAGAATCTGCGGCGGAAATGAACACACGAGAGCAATGAAGTTGAGTGCGAAATAAGCTCTGCTCTATGCGCGTTTCGCAAAAAAACCATGCTTGATGTTCCCCTACGTAGACGCACTAGCGAAATTCTGCACAAGTACGGCTCCTTTTGGGTGCTTGCTAAAGGACCTCATGCGTTCTGGACCACACCAATGGACCAGAAAGGTCTCATCCTCACTTGTCGCTGTCAACCCGTCCACGGAGCCTGACAGACAACACAAAATAAAACCTTCACTGGCATCAACTACCCGATCACGACTACTGAAAAGAAGTCATGGAATTTTTATACAAGCGAGGAGCATGGTGGTCCTGATTTAAATTAAATCGATACCGAAGATTTTTGATAAATAAATTCTTACAAAGATGATTAAATAAAAGACTGCCGGCATCGCAGATTTTAATACTAGTGTGTGCCTCGAGATACATACATACATACAGGTAGGAGCTAACTGAGCCCCGAGGCTGCTGACGAGAGTGTTGTTTTTGAAAAAGTAAAAGTTCGCTCTGCCTGCCACGACTACGAAGCTCTGTCGTCGTCGTGAAAAGAGAAAAATAAAAAGTTGTTTTTGAGAAAAGCGGAAGCTGTTTCTGTGAAAAGAGAAAATTAAAATAAAGTCTTTCTGTTGTCAAGAACCAGCTGAAATTCTCACAGTTACTGCTTGCTGCGGTCTACTTTATGTATTTCTTAGAATTGAAGAACCCGATCGAAAATTCATCCTCCGGAGCTACCAAGAACCCCCCGTATCCTCCCGTAATGGGTGGAAAATGAACCTACCCTCAATTCCATGCCGGAATCCATGCCGTGGGTGTGGGCAGGATCTGACCGTGCCACATCCGCGCAGCGTCTCCAGGCCTCACTTGCACATGTGGGAGGGGAATGTACCGTATGACAGTGCACAACTCCCCCTGCTCCCCCTCATTTCATTTGTATTTTTGCACGAACAGCAATACAAGCGTCGGCAAGATGAATTCAGGTTTTGCATCACAAATTCACTCAGGATTATAGGGCTGTTCAAGCTGCCAGGACTTGTCATGCAAAAAGTGCGAAGAGGCAATAAACCAAAGGGAAAGGGTGGCTTTGGTATTTCGCATGACAAATGAGGGGGAGGGGGCGTTGTGCACTCTCATATCCCGTCGTTCCAGAATCAGGCGGAATTCGCCCAAAGCATATCAACATGAAAAATCCCCTCTCCCCATAATATTCAAAGTGGAATTTTTTGTGTAGTAGCATGATTTGTGATCACAAATCCATTTGTGATGCTGGTAGGGAAGGGATGCGGCCTGTAGTGCTGTCTGGCACGGGCAAGCCTTGCCTCGCCAGTATGACAGAGACCACCCACTGCATATCCTAGAACAGCATGACAAAGTCAAAGTTCCTGAAAATAGGCCGCAGGTGTGATGTCCCTTTACCTTCCAGCAAAAATACAAGTGGATTTCTGTACACAAATCGCGCATCAGAAATCTCCTTTTGGTCTGGGGAGGGGGGATCATGTTTCCTCACAATAAAACATGGTCCCTTACAAGTGCTTTCGTGTGAAGCTTTCCCATCTCGATATAGGCACGCTTCGTATCCTCATTCATCTCACCGAACCCTGGCGACCCGAGTAAAATCCGCATCCACTCTTCCAGCTCACTGAAGTCGTTCGGGTCCTCGTTGAGTGGGAAAGGAAGGGGCTTGTTTCTAAACAATGTCTCCGCACCACCAATTGTTGAGTTCAACGATGTATTACCGACTAGGGGGGCGAGTGGCTCACGGGAGGAAGCATGTTGGCCAGCCACAGTCTTCACTTGCGTTGTCCTCAGGCAGTCGTGCATCCAGCGAGCCAAATCTATCGTGTGGTTTTTCCGGATCAGCGCGAGACAAAACTTTGTGTGGGTATCAAAGACAAAAATGTCTGGGTCTGGGAAGTCATGCTTGTCTGGCATGGCAAAAGAGCTTGTGATGCGTGTCCAAGAAGAGACCCTTTTGCCTGTCATGCAAGAACGCAGTTTCTCAGGCGAAAAACAGAACACAAAGAAGCGCAGACATTTCTCGTCATGCTTGGCTGTGCATTACAGACCATTCACTATTCCCAACACAGCATTACAATTTTCCAGACCCAGACGTTTTTGCAGTTGATAGTGGGTCGCCCACTGCCATTCAACGATGGCATCCAGGATTTCCCACGAAAAAAGTGTTTTACAGTTACACATTTGCTGTCAATTCAGCAACACAACTGGCTCTGCATGAGAGAGAAAATTTACAATGCAAAAATCCTACGGGAAAACACCTACGAACAAACGAGGCTCTTATAATATGCATATCCTGCATGACAGAGCTTGTCTGTCTTGCTTGGTCTGCAACACAATGTGTAACTGTAACACTTTTTTCTTGCGATACAGGATTTTCCTGCTCCAGTCGGTGTGGGGCTGACTCGCTTCGAGCACCTGACGCACTTGCTCCTCCTCTCCTATTCTCCGACGCCATTCTTGTGAAAGCACGCTCAGTGCGGCCTCGGTGTGGGGGAGATGAGACGCGAAGGCGCCGTTACTATCAAAATGCATCCACGACTCTCCTACCTGTGGTTGCTGGACTGATCCTCGCCGTCCGAAATGCTTGCTCGATTCCAAGGAGAATGCTGGACCGACCCGGTTTCTTGACGTCTCCCCTTTGAAGAGCAGGTCTAAAGCTTCAACCACGCGACATTCGTCTGACACCAAAAACCAGAGTCTGCTTCTGTCCTCGGCAAAAAAATGCCCGTTCCTTCGTCTGTGGAAATGTCCACTCCACTCATTTCGGTTTCCCTCGCGCTCGGGGCTCACTATATCGTGGTCTATTTTGCGCCATATGTCTGCGTAATTTTCACCATACTTTCTCGCATGGTCACTGATCGTGCCTGACAAAACAGGCACCCTGGTTTCCACTCCTACCCTGGTTTCTTCTCGGCCGGCAGCTAGCCATTCCTTGCGCGCCGCGTAGCGCAGCTTGAAGAGGGCGTATCCTGTGCAAAAGTACTATCGTCCTCGTCGCATTAAAAAAAAAGTGCAGTCATGAATTACAAATCTTTTATTTTCTCTGGGTGAAAAAAATTCCGCATCGCAAATTTCATTTCTGATGCTGAGGAAATTTGTAATGCAAAAAGTCATATAATGCTACTGCTAGTACGATAGATACTTTTGCAGTGCATAGGACCCGCATTATCGCAATTTTCAAAACTTTGTTCAGTTCATCGTGAAAGCCCCCCTCTGCGTCGAAAAGTCCGTTAAGCCGGAGCAGTCCATTGTTCGTGGTTGGTCCATTCTGTAGATAGGATATTCTTGTGGGGGCGCTACGTGGTTCGTTAGCGCCGTTCTGAAGTGGTCGTTCACCACGGCACAGAGGACACGTGGGACTGCGGTTAGGACGCGCGTTCGCCCACCCTTGATCGCACGCGGTCGTCCACCTTTGATCGCATTCTGCGCAGAAGTTCTGATCCACTATGGCGTTCTCAACTGTTACATTCTCACCTGTATACATGATTTTTTGTCATGCAAATTTACCACCAAGATCGCCACGATTAAGCTGCTTCGCATGACAAATATCCGAAGGGCTAAACAGCGTCGAAATCTGTGCCAAATCTGTAATGCAAGAGGCGCAATCTTCCCCCTTTGGCTTTCACTCTCGCCGTTCTTGCATTACAAATTCATGTAACAGTTGAGAAAGTAACATTTGAGAACGCCATATGCACGCGGTGTCCGTTCGGACACAATGCTTCTCCACCTGTCCGTCGCTCGCATTCTTCTATATCCAACAGAAAAAGATTGTATAGTTTGTGATGCGCAACATGTTGTACTAAGAAAGATGATTGCGTCAGCGTCTGTCATGCTGGTCATGCATTCATTTTTGTAGGGTCAATCAATGCAAGTGCGTTTTCACGTGCGATCTCCGAACGTCGACAGCTTTTATTTGCTGTCAACGACCTGGCAGATTTGTAAAAATGCTGGCCCAGCAAAAAACAACAAATCTGAGTCTTTTTTTCTTGGATATTGTAGACAAATGGCGCACTCGAAGGTTTCTGGAGTGCTTTGATCACCCGCGTTATCAAATGTAAAAGTGTCTGGGTCTGGAAGAATGCAACTTGTCATGCTAAATCTGAAGCATGCAAAAATCTGTGTTGCATGATTACCAAAAGGTGTCCAGTTTTAACCAAGTCGGGAGGGAGTTTCTCACGCAGGATAGGCATGAGAGAGATCGCACGGAAGCTGTCATGCTAGGTCCTGCATTCCAGGCCTCATGGGTCATGGAAAAGCTGCATGACAAATCGAGCATTCCTCCAGACCCAGACATTTTTGCATTTGATATTCAGGAACTCCTTCTACCGCTGGACGATCGACAGCAGCCGATTCCGTGCCAGAGCTGCTCGAAGGTGGAGCACGACTCGAGGACGAACTAGTTGTACCCAAAGTCGCACCAGGACGTTCGCCCTCGGCTTGCACATCACGCGCCGACGAGGAGCGACGACGCGCCGACGAGGTGGACCGACGCGCCGGCGAGGAGCGACGACGCGCCGACGAGGTGGATCGACGCGCCGACGAGGTGGACTGACGCGGCGACAGGGACCGACCATGCGCCGGCGAGGTGGACCGACCACGGGGCCCCGCCGAAGAAGACGCGAGAACCCGCACTGCCGACACGAGGATCACCGAACTCGTCGTCAGGTTCAGCAACGATGAGAAATAAAGCACCGAGCTGCCGGCAACTACGCCAGCGGCTGCCAACTTCGTAAATACAGACGGGGCCATTTTAGATTGTTTTGGGGTAGAAATTATAGTGCACGAGGACAAGCTCGGAATCAAATTTTTCGCTAGACAACGGAGACAAATAAAAACCTCCGGGTTTATTGGCAACTATACACGTGGTTTTGAGTGCCTCAGATCAGAAATACGTACTCTTGTTTAGTGCAAAGATAGATGCAGCCTAGACAACCGTCTAGTGTGGTCTAGAAGTAAGTGCTTGTCGGTGTAGCTTGTGTCGATTAGGGTAGTAGTTTTTGCTGAGTTTCGTAAAAAGCTATGCCAGGCAGCAGGTGTTTAAAGGTGTGGTCTAAGAACGTTAAAAGCAAGAGCTTCAAGTTGGAACTGTGTGTCGAGCAGTTTATTGAATCTCCGAGATCAACATTCACCAATATCAACAACGCATTGCCTTACAATTATTTCCCACCGAGATACTTTTTTGCAGATCAATATCAAAAAATTTCGGGCACAACACGTATTCTGTAGACCGAGCTGCGTTTTTAGATCCTCCCTCACCACTTTTGAGACCGATAACAGTAGACCATGAGAATTATGAGGTGCAACTCGACACTAAATTCATTCAGATTTCTCTTTGCACGACCAACAGGAGGGGCTCATGAATGTAAAATGCGGAGGATTTTTTGGATCATTTGCAGGACCATTTTGATTGCAGCGTGCTGATCATGTGCTGACTTTTTATCGCTCGCTCTTGCGTCAGATCTTGCTCAACAAATAAAAAATTCTGGCTCTGATAGATCTGAGTGGGGTCTACTCTGCAGCAAATTGAAACGAAAATATCTGATCCATATCGTCAACATCGAAAGCCAGACTATTACCCCAATGAAATGAAAACCGACGTGGGAGCGGAGTTATTTTGCACCAGCGAACAGTAACTACTGCGTGCTCCCGACTTCGCACAGTGCGCCGCGATGCGCATAGTACTACAGACAATACGACTTCGTTTCGTCTCTAACCATAATGATCACGGAGGCGGGTCATACGTCATGTAGCTCTAGCCACACAAGATAGGTCCTGACGTCAACATCGTACATCGTACATAATCACGTACTTTTCCCCCTCTCTGATGATCATCTTCCATGCAGCTAGAATTTTTTTTTTACAGTAGAATAGCACTGTCATCATTATCTTGCTCCTGCTCTTGTATGTGCGAAGCATGATGGTGTAGTACACAACTTCTGCGCTCGTGCGTGCACAAGAAATGGAGCAACATCTTCAATGCGTCGCGAGAGTTACCGTCTTCAAACGAGTTGGCCTTCTTTATGCTAGAAGACTGGGCTACAGGGTTAAGTTATTTCATCGCGTCCTGCTTCTCATACATTTCCTTTTACTGCTTGGTTTAACCAGTAGTACGCAATCAACTTCAATAAAAACACTGTTTTTAACAAGGTTATTTGTTGGTCATTTATTATCCTGCTGAGATCTTCGCAAGACTGACCTGCTACACGCGGTTTTGGTTCTTCTCCAAAACTCGCGCTCTTCTTATACGAAAAGAATACTGTTGGCTTACAATTAGTTGGATGTCCTTGTCCATCCAAAACAAATCATACAAATGCTTTACTTCTTTCACGTACTTACTATAGAATTATACCTACTGGGTGCCGCAATAGAGACTCTGCGGCCCGTAAAGTATTTTTGTACTTCTCAATTTTACTAAGTACTTCTTGTTGAATAGTGAAGAACGCAACAAAGCACGATAAAGAGCAGGCTAACAGCTTCGCTCCACGACATAAAATCAACTTTGCTTTCTTGCGCAACACAATTCATGGATTCACCATCCATGTCGAGGAAGACCAGGCACTTGCCCCCCGTAGAAGTACCTCCTGTTTAACTTCTATAAAGCACTTATTTATTAAGTATAAGGAACAATCAGGGTAGCAGAGCCGGAATGATCTCTACTATACAACTTAGAAATATATCATGAAAACAACAAAGTCCAGCGTGAGAACATCGTCTATCAAGTTCTTGTAGATGCAATAGTACTAAAACATAGTTAGAAGAGATCTTCCGCCAGCGGAAGTCGAAGACCTAGCGCGCGCCGTCCGGGTCTGACCGGTGTCCCGGGCATGAGAATTATTTACGGCACGGGGGGAAACCCTCCTTGCTGGTCGAGGTCGAGGACGCCTCATTCAGGTTCAGCCTGAACTCCATGCTCCCGTGCCGGTTCAGCCGGTTCTCCAACCGCCGGCGCATCCATATCATGCTGCGCTGGGGCCGCTGCGCGCTGCCCCGCGAAGAACGCTGTCAGGTCGAGAAAGCCGAGCCGCTGTCGCAGTTCCTTCTCTTCTTTCACCAGCGTATAGTGTTCGCACCACGCAGCGAGGGCAGGTCCACAGTGGTCGGCACCAGAGCGAGCAGCCCCGACGACTCCGCAGGCGCAGGCCGCGGGCGGCCCGCCCACGGCCGCCGGGGCGCAATTGGATAGGAGACTACAACACACTACTGCTTGGGCACCGATGAGCGCGCCTCTGTTTATGTCATCGTGCCAAGCCGGCCTTTCGCGCTCAATTTGTTGCTCAAGGGCGAGAAGACGCATTCTCACACGATGTAGTCGCGTCTGCACCTCCTGCCGTTCCCGTTCGGCAGCAACGTCGTCACGCGCCGACGAGGTGGACCGGCGACCACGGCGCCCCGCCGAAGACACTTGAACCCGCACTGCCGATACGAGCACCACCGGACTCGTAGTAAAGTTCAACGACGAGGAGAAAAACACCGAGCTGCCGGCAACTACGCCAGCGGCTGCCAACTTCGTAAAGAAAGACGGGGCCATTTCAGATTATTTTGGAGTAGAAATTAATATACTGCACGAGTACAAGCTCGGAATCAAATTGTTCGCGTTTCGTTGTAGACAACGGAGGAAACAATACTGCACAAAAAAAAACGGGCTTAGTTGCAATTATACAGGTAGTTTTGAGCGCCTCTAGTAATTTCGATCAGAAATACGGACACTACTAGGTTGTGAATGTAGTAAATGAATTCTATGTTCTTGGTGGAATCGAAGACGAAGATAATAGGCTTGGTGAGGAAGTGGATAATCAAGGTTTAAGAAAGCGCGACTGATGTTGGCAGCGGATCCTTCTAGAAACCCAATTCTTGTAATATCCTGCAATTTGGAAAGAGGACGACGATGAAGTAAGAACGCTTGAGTTGCTAGACACGAAATTCTTCCAGATCTTACACGCACAGCAAAAGGTGGATCAACCATTGTTCGTTCCTCCAGGATCGTTTATTTACCACATGTTAACACATGCTCTTGAGTTATAATGGTGTGCAGTTTATTTCATCGGTTGCAAAAATTGGATCAGATCTTGTTCTGGCCTGGGTCGTGAGATCTACTTACTAGCCTTGGAATCGTATAAGCATCATTCTGATCTTCAAGCACACCGAACAAGAATTACAAAAAAACCGACATCAAGGGCCTTCAGAAACAGAATCTTCAAGATGATCTTCTATCATTTATTGCGACGGGGCTGGGTGGCAAAAAAAAACCAACAGATTAGGACTTTTGTGACCCCATCATCGAGTAAGAATTTTTATTGGTCTTTTTTGTTTCAACAGAAAGGAAGGTAACGAAGAGTGTCTACTTCGCAATACATTTATTTTGCTTCATTTTGTTTTACGAATACACATACCGTAGGAGGCCGACAAAAATACGACCTAGTCCACACGACCAGAAGACTAGAAGCGCGTCAAGCGCTGTTATGAGCAGGTTTGCGATACCTCCTACAACACGATAATGGAAAAGCCTACAACAGCTAGATCGAATTTTCGAGGTGGCTTTTTTTGAAAATATGATGATATTTGGTTCGAGCTGGTCTCGATCGATTTGAAAATAAGATTAAAATTCGATCGGTCAAAATAAAAACGAGTTTTAGCAAACGAGGCGGGCTTGGGCCACAATGCTGAACTTGGCGAAAGCCAAAATTATCCTTTTGTATATTCATGGCACGGACTCCGCCCTGCGGAAAAATACAAGTGCATTTGTCGTCCGTTGAGGAAAGCAAAAACTGATTAAATGAAAGATTTTTGCTCCGTTTTATCTCCCAAAAAGCCAACTTGAAATTCTCACATTTTGAATCGAAACATTAGTGCTACATCAGCTAAAAGCTACTTACTTTATCTGAGATTTTTTTTCGCAGAAATTACTCACACCACAAGCGCCTCACCACTGCTGGTGGAGGTTGTAGTTTACTTCCCCGTTATACATACTAGGTTCCTCGCAATGATGCTCCACTCTGGAGGTTGTAAAAAGGTCCGGGAGGTCTGACCGCTAACCTGCAGGCGACTCTCCCTGTATGACAATGCGCAGAACTTCTACCCTGGTAGTTCCCCCGCCGCAACATGATATTACAAATTTCATATGATACATACACATAGAAAGGCATCAGCAGCAACGGAACGAGGCGCAACACGTTGGTAGCTTTGGCATGACAAATTCACGGCCGGGCCGTAGAGGTATTACCTACTTCGTCTCCCGCCGGAACTTTTACTTGGCATGCAAGCACCGCTCGACGGCATCGAGATGAGTGAATCTGACTCTGAGTTGCGCATTTTGCATGACAAACCCGGGGAACCACGAGGGGAAAATAAATTGCTCACTCCCATACTCAGCAATGGGAACGCACAAATCTATTGCGTGGATCGCGTTTCGGTGCACCTGGGGATCAGACCCCCAAATACCAGGTTCAGCACCCGCCTGCGACGGCGCCGCCGGGAGCGGGACTGCGTTGGTGTTCACGCTTGTTGATCTCAATTCTGCAGCGTAGTTGATGCCATCATGCTGGTGACCATCATTAAAAATACCTCCAGTGCGAGAAGATGAAGAACCCACGCCCGACGCGGGTCGTGAAGTAGACGTGGGTCTTCTTGTACCACCATCGTGGAGTTGTAGATGTCCTCCCCCAAGAACATGAGGCAGATCTGAAGCCCTGTAGTTCAAGCGTTGTTGGCCCACCATTATGCTACTCGAGGAGGACGCTGGTACCGACTCGACCAGGCGATTGTTATGCAATGCAAAAGTATCGCACTCGTAGTAATCGCAGTTGTGCATTACAAATCTCCATCCAAAGGTAAAACAGCATGACAAATCTTATTTCTCATGCTGAGCAAATTTGTAATGCAATTCATACTAGTACAATGCTTTTGCAATGCATAATTGTGGTCCAGCAGCAACCGCGCACGTAATTCCAGCAAGCCTGCACGAAAGTCCATCAGCCCACTGGCCAGGGCGCACGCGTTTTGATAGGCAGACCCGGCAGCGGCAGCTCCGTCGCGGTTGTTCGTCGCGGCAGGGAGGATTGCTGCTGGTGTCGAAATTATCTCAGCAAACGGTAGTTGAAAGATCGAAGATAAGGTGGAAAGCTGCTCGTCGTCGTGGTCCAAGAACATTGCGTTCTCCTGTTGGCGGCTCTGTTGCTGCTGCAACATGACGTAGTTTGCCAAAGATGAGCATGTAGACGTCGCAGTATCTCACAGAAAAAAGCGGGCAGGTCACATTTGTAATGCAAAAATAAATACACAAAAAATCTGTATTGCGTATTCTAAACAGCATGCTGCGAGGTCGCCCATGACAGATTTTTCTGTGTATTTATTTTTGCATTACAAGAAATATGCCCTGCCAGCTTTTTTCTGTGGAATACGCAGAGGTGATTTGCCGGTAAAGCTCCACTATCAAACGCAAAAACGTCTGGGTCTGGAAGAATGCATGTTTGTCGTGCTTGTCTGGCATAACTCTGAAATCTGTCATGCACGTTACCCAAGGGCTCCACTTTTCTGTGATGCAGAGACGCAGTTTGTCATGCAGAATAAGCAAAACACCCAGAAGCTCAGAAAATTGCCATGCTGAGCCAGCATTTGTGGCCTCATCAAGAGACGCCACCCAGCATCACAAGTTTCCAGACGCAGACCCAGACATTTTTACATTTGATATCCACACTGCGGCTGAAGGCCTCCTCCGAAGCAGTACCGTCGCTAATTGGCCGCTGCGAGTTGACGTCGTCGTTGCTCCTTGGACGAGTTATCCTGAGTAAAAACGTACTCACACCAGAGTCAGAGTGGGGATTTTGCAACACAAACCTAGGCGCTTTGTGAGTCACGCATCACAAGTTGCACTATGCAGTGTAGTTCAGGTTAGCAAGTGCAGCCGCATTACAGACTCATCTGCTCATCCTGTTCATAGCATCAAAAATTCCACAACACGATTGGAAATGGCTCTCATGGGGATGCGCATTGCAAGTCTTCCTGTCTTTGCAAATCTGCATTACAACTCTGGTGTGGGTACGTTTTTACTCAGGATACGAGTGTCAGGATCATCATCCTCCGTTTCAGAAACCGTCCAGCAACTGGAGGAATTGGCACTGCTTTGCTTTTGCCCCATCGAACTCGACTGTCCTACTGGTCTACTTGATGAACTCGACTGTCCTACTGGTCCACTTGATGACTCATGTAATAGTAATGCTTTATCTTCCACCTGCTGCTGCGCGGTCGATAATTCTCTTTGCGCAGCACGAGGCTCAAGTCGTGGACTACTAGGACCGTGCCGCTGCGATAGTGCTTCTCTCACTGAGCAAGCCTGTTGCGCTTGCAGATGTCCTGGGCCAGCCGACCCAACTACAGAGCTGCCCGTGGAAGAGGACGACGTATTTTTATCCAGTGTTTCAGAGGACTTAGAACGATCTTCACCGCTACCACTTGACATCGTCGGCCCAGGCGTCGAAGACGCTGTTGCTCCCCTTGCTAGCAGTGGCACCCCGTACTCCGAGACGATGTCGCGTAGCATCAAATTCCGCATTTCGGATTGTGTCGCGGCCTGTTTCTGTTGCTCGCCGGAGTCTAGAGGCACATTTTCAACAACATCAGAAGAAGACCACTCGGCGAGCTGTTCGCAACTACAGGTTTGATGATGGTGGCGAGATGAACTTGACGCAGTTGCTGTGTCCTCTTGATGTCCTAGCTGTCGCAGGTTATTTATTTTGCGACCTTCAGTCGTGCTGACCACACCGGTGCGTGCGCTTGTTCCTGGTGTACCATGCAGGTTGTTCCCGATCTGCCCTTGCTCTGCTTCTGCTTCTTCTTGGCCGCCGGGAAAATAGTGCTGGTCTTGTCCCATTCCTCCCGCTGCTGCTCCGACTGGCACACCATCGATCACTTCGTCAACGAAGTAGGTATAATCGGTCTCATCTTGGGACGAAAGCCGGTGGCCATTTGCGCTGCCCGAGGTAGGGATGAACAATCTCCCCGCAGTTCCGTCGTCGGAGTTCGTCACCATCTCGATATCCTGATTGTAGGGTGTCCAACCAGGGCCGCAGGGGTTCTGCTTTTCCTTTTGCACACCAGCAGGTCCTCGCGTTGGCTCCTGGTACGATATTAACTGGGGAGGATCAAGAACATACGGGACCACACCTCCGGTTTTTGCGGCGGGAGCTAAAATTCCTCGTCGCAATGGGTCGTTGGTTCTCGTACGCGCTGTTGTACGACTATGATCACAGCCTCTTTCTTGTGAGAAAGATGATGCCGAAGCTCCTCCTGCTGAGGGACGTTCTTGTCCTGGAAAATGTTGATTCGTAGATGTTGCAGTACTACTTCTAATACGACCAGACGCTGGTGCCGCATGGAAATTGCTCGTCTCCGTCGCCTCTGTCTCGTCCTGAGAGAAGATCTGGAGGTCGATTACGGGCCTGACCTCTAGAGGCCCAAAACCCTCTACAGGTGGCCGGCGATGCTCTATAGCCTCATCTCTAGAGCTCGCGCCTACAGCTGACCCCTACAGCTCAACGGCCAAAAGCATTCTTTTTGCTTCTAAAACGTAAACGAGCTGCGAACTATTTGGGGAAGCAGCCGCAGCTACCCGGCGGGCCTACTGCCCCTGGTGCTTACCTAGGAAACCCGACACCGGGAGCACAGAAACACCGAACCAACCGCGATAGGGCTTTGGCTGACACATCAGAAACAACCAGCCGCATGGTTGTTGCCTCCATGCTGTGAGGCGTGGCCGCCGGTGCCGAGAGTAAAACTCAAAAACACCACTGACAGGCGTGCCTCTTACTTAGATTTGTTGGGAGGCAACCGCCAGCAGCTGCGTGGTCCTGCTGCTTGCTACAGGGCATCGGGCCAAGCCTCGCCGAAGGGCAGCCCGGATGGAAAAGCATGCACACAACAAGCCCAAGACCATACGCAAGAGAAACTCTCGGCGCACAGCGGGGGGCTAATGCGAATGCAGCAGATGTGAGCCGCCGCACCTAAAAGCAAAAACGAAACCTACCTGCGGGCCCCAAGGGTTCGCTGGCGTTCTCGCCCTAGTAGCCTCCTGGAGGGGAGGCCGCCCGGCGCGGGTCTGCTTTCCATTTCCTAGAAGGTAGACGGCACGACTACCGTGAGGCGCACCAAGCGGAGGCGCGTGCTCTTATCTACCTCTACCTGACCCGGCTTTTGGCACTACAGAGGCCGGCCGGATCTGGCGCGCTAGGCGTTGGGCTGCAGTTGGTGGGCCGGTCGCTCTGCTGGCCGCCTTTTCTTATTCATTTTATGTTCCTGGCTGCGCGTGCTCTTCCTTTTTGTTTTTGTACTTTGTTGCCATCAAGCTGTTTGCCATCATCGCGCGGCGTTAGTGCGTTGGCTGCCCTTCCGGGAACAGCCAGCCCCAAAGCACGCCCCAGCTCTTCGGCCAAGCCTCTTCGAACTGTTTCTAGTTGCTGCAGTACTGCTTTTCTATTGTTATGTGCAGATCCCCGCGCCGTTGTGCCAACACGGCGGCGCGAGCCCCAAATACTACTTCTAATACGACCAGACGCTGGTGCCGCATGGAAATTGCTCGTCTCCGTCGCCTCTGTCTCAAAACCTCACATACCCCTCCGCGAACCAAAAAAAAAAAATCTTCCGCGCCGCCCAAATTTCGAGGGGGCTATGCGAGGTTTTGGCTTTCAAAACCTCACATAGCTCTCCGCGATCCAAAAAAAAAATTTCGCGGCGCTGCCGCGCCGCCCAGATTTCGGAGGGGCTATACGAGGTTTTGAAAATAAAAAGCCCGGGTAGGAAATATGAGTTTTGAACTTTTTCCTACCCGGGGTTTTTTTTTTCAAAACCCCGGGTAGGAAATATTTATCAGCTGTTATCACCCTCACAGACGTGCAGAGCAGCGGATAAATATTTCCTCCCCGGGGTTTTGAAAATAAAAACCCCGGGTAGGAAAAAACGCAAATTGCATTTTTCCTACCCGGGCTTTTTTTCTTTTGCTTACAGTGCCCATAAATATATCCCGCGAGCCCCCGAGCATTGCAGCCTATCTGCTGCTTGCCCACCTATTTTTCTACGTCTAAGTACGCGCGCACTGCTTTGATGCGCTTCAGAGGGCTGCTCGTTCGAAATTCATGCCCCAATACTCCCCGCGCAAATGTTCCTCCTGAGCTTCCATCCAGCAGTCCCCCCGCAGAGCAGCCGTCCCCGCGTAGCACTTACCTGAGTATTGAGTCAGTACAGCGCAACGTGGCGCATCCAGGTCCAGAACGAGAGCTGCCCGCTTACTTACTACACTGCGCGCACCTACAGTCACAACCTGTAGAAATGTGCGGACTATCAGTTTTCTTATTTTGGCACGTTTGTGTATTCCTGATGCCTACACTGTGCAAGGTGTTGCAATTGCGGCGCCGATAGACAAAGAAACAGGCGTTGCAAATGCGCAACGCGCTTGCGTGGTTCATTATACGGAAACACAAACACCAAAGCCGCCCGGCGCACTGCATTGGGTGGCAGCCGACGGGGACTAAGGTTTCCGAGCTGTCGAGAGCTTTCTTTGGCTGGCTGTTTCTACTTATACCGTCGCGCTCTTACTTTCCTGTGCAAGCTGCTTCAGAAGCCTACGCCACTGATAAAGCGTAGGCTTCTTGTAAACAAGCCTCTTGCTTCTTTTGTTGTACGGAACTAAAGGAAGCGCGCCGGCTGCACAAGAGCGAGTAGCTGCAGACGCACCTCCTGGACACGTTCCGACTTATTTAAATTTTTATTTTCTGCAGCGTTGGGTATGTGACAAGGAGTGAAATGTCCGGACTTATGACAGGGCCGCTAATTAAGTATCTGGGAGTAATACGACCAGACGCTGGTGCCGCATGGAAATTGCTCGTCTCCGTCGCCTCTGTCTCGTCCTGTCGCTCCGCCCCGTTTTCTTGCCTCTGCGACGTCAGCAGCCAGCGATTTCCGGTCTCGGTTCTCCGGCTGTGCGGCGGCACGAGTCGGCTCAAGCTGACCACGATCATTGGCGGGGCACGTTCTGGTAGCCTACTGCGGGTTGCTGTTGTGCTAGACAGGGAGATGGCGGCTGTCACCCTCAAGAAGAAAGCGCTGATCATCGCAAACAAACAACAACCCCCGGTTGGAGATGTTGAGAGGGTAATATGCGACGTTGATGTTCTTGCCTTGCGCGTAGTCGCGGTCGAGGACGAGCATGCCCAGTTCAGCCCAGCACAGCGATGCGCGCATGGGTGCGGCCGCGTGGACGTGGAGCTGCGCACCATATTACAACTCTCTGCTGCTGCAGATGAGGGTGGCGAACAACTGGCAGTAGAATCACCAGGACCTTATGCGGAACGGAGACAACTGTGTAGTACACGTCAATATCTTGTTCGAGGACGCCGGCCACAGCGACGTCGACGGCTCATCAGGAAGCGGATCATGTTTCATTTGTGAACACTCATTCTTCTTTTGTATCAGCAGCTGGGCCTCAATTTCAATTAAGTACGTGCTTTTGCATGACGCATTTGTTTTCTACTTATCTCAACACATGATCGTCGAGCTCGAGACTACTGATCTGAGAAAGGTTCTTTCAGCTTTACCATTCGCAGATGAAATGTTGACAACTTACAGCCAAGAACAAGAAGAAAGTCCATAACTAGAGACGCATGGTTACAGTTAAACGTTAAGTTGTAAGATGCAGACTTGAGCGTTCACCTACTTAAGTAAATCCAGGTTGAGACTTTTTACCCCTGCTGCCAGCAACAAAATGTTCTGTTGGGTTGGTTCTACCAACATGATAGCGTCATCAAACAAACGCAAATAACCGCCCATGATGTCACATATTCCTCATCCCCGTGACGACGCGGCTATCGCGTTTTTTCAAAATCTCCCCATCATCGCGCAAATTCGCCGCTGCCAGGTAGCTGTTATCAAGTGCAAAAATGTCTGGGTCTGGAAGAATGCGCGTTTGTCATGCTTGTCTGGCATAACTCTTAAATATGTCACGCACGTTACCCAAGAGCTGCGTTTTTGTGTGATGCAGAAACGCAGTTTGTCATGCAGAAGAGGCAAAACCTAGAATCTCAGAAGCTTGTCATGCTGAGCCAGCATTTGTGGCCTCATCATGAGACGCCACCCAGCATCACAAGTTTCCAGACCCAGACATTTTTACATTTGATAGCTGTCCTGCGAAAACGACTCTCCCCGGGCAAATTTTTCCGACGCGGCCAGGTATTATCCTGAGGAAAAACGTGCCCACCCCATAGTCAAGTTGGGATTGGGAACTTAGCAATACAAATCCAGAAGTTTTGGGAGCACCGCATGACAAGTTGCAGTCCGTAGGTTGTAGTGCAGGTTAGCAACGGAAACCGCATCAAAAATCCATCTGCTTATCGTGTGTCCGGCATTACAAATACCAAAACACGACTGGAAATGCCTCTCTTGGGGATGCGCACTGCAGATGTTCCTGTAGTCGCAAATCTGCATGACAACTCTGGGGTGGGGACATTTTTACACAGAATACGTATTTCGCCAGGTTTCGCCCCGTCAAAACGTAGGCGTCGCGAATCGACTGGGAAAAGGACACTTGCCCGTATTTCTTGAAAATCAAGGAGAAAGCGCTTTGGTCGTCGTTGTGATTCTTAAACCCCGGGAAATTCGGAAACCCCAATACGTTCGGCTCTTCTGTCAGAATCCGTTTATCCTGCACGGCTTCCAACCACTCTTCTAGGATTTTGATCGCAAGGGGAGTCTTGCGCACGAGAATGATGCCGGACCCAATTTGATTCGATTCGGCGATGGTGGTGTAGTCCATGTTGAGAATATGGGAAGAAAAAAGCATTACAGTTACACACTGTGATGTTGCAAGACCGGCACCACAGACAGCCTTTCTCATGCAGGAAATGCTTTGGATTCTCATTCCCTTCCTGTGTTCCACCTTTATGTTTCCTGCATTCCAAGTTTTCTCTCTCATGCAGGGAAAATTTGTGCTGCGGAATTGACAACAAATGTGTAACTCTAACTGTAACACTTTTTTCGTGGGATAGAGAAGGAGGAACGCGTCGCGCTTCGTGAAATCGCCCTCCATCATGGGGTATCAACTGCAAAAGTGTCTGGGTCTGGAAACTTGTAATGCTGTGTCGGGAATAGTGAAAGCTCTGTAATGCACAGGCAAGCATGAGAAATATCTGCGCTTCTTCGTGTTGCGTTTTTCGCATGACAAACTGCGTTTTCGCATGACAGGCAAAAGGGTCTGTCTCTTCTTGGACACGCATCACAAACTTTTCGGTCATGCCAGACAAGCATGACAAATCTCGCAATCTTCCAGACCCACACGTTTTTGCATTTGATATCGGGGTTAAGGTGGCGGACACGTCGGAACCCCGGAGGTAGCGGGCTATGAAGTGCAAATATGTCTGGGTCTGGAAGGATGCAAGTTTTGTCATGCAGATTTTGTATGATCCATGCCGCCTGTGATGCATGACCTAGCATGATCGCAGCTTTTGAGGGAGCTTCCTTATGCATATGCCTACTTAATCCGCATGAGAAATGCCATCTCCGTGTAGCAGAAGCAGTAAACTGGGCTCCTGTTGCCAGTCATACAATACAGATTTTTTTACGATCCAAGGACAGCATCACTAGTTGCAACGTTCCAGACCCAGACATCTTTGGAGTTGATACGGGCGACTAACGGACGGATGTCGTCGAGAAAGGAGATGCCTGGTAGAAGTCGACGGTGTAATTCAATCTAAAAATCAATATCAAATTCAAAATCGTACAGAAAAAATAAGTGCACAGTAGAAGCCAAGCTAAAGCCAGCTAATCTTTGTCAGGCAATTATTAATCTTCTTTGTGTTGAAAGTCAGCATCGCACCGGACGAAGGGGTGCATTTGTGACTTTTCAAATGTTGTCATCATGATAGTTAAAAATCCGTACAACTAAACATAGACGAAAGTTTGTTGAAAGAACCGCTCTATATTCATTTTTCAGATCTCGAATCTTTCTGATAGTCACCACACAATAGCAGCGGATGGCGAAAAAAGCCTCCCGCTCCTGATTGTCAGAGACAAAATGCGTGGTATCTCAAAAAAGTGTCATCATGCGAGGTGGCACATGTGGTCGTATGGTCCTTGCGGTTGCGTCGATTCTTTACGTATAATATAAAGCAGAGCAGCTGTGACTAACGAAAAGTGGCGAGAATGTATAGCAGATGAGAAGCGAACAGGTGCAACTGAATCTATTAACTATCCGCTGCTAGAAAAACTAAAACTTTATTTCCTTGCATGATTTTCATTTTTGGATCCTGCGCACGATATGATAGAGATAGACATTGAACAAGTAGTTGTCATAGATTGATAAGAGGTCAGTACAACTTCCGCCAGGAGACAAAGAACGTATCTATCATGTGAAAATCTGTAAAATCATACCTGCGTCGGTCCACACGAGTATTTCATTTTCCTTCACTTTCTCCCTCAAGGCCTTGAGAATCACGTACGGTTTCCAAACGTAGTACCCCACTTTCCCGCTCGGCGTTTTGTACTGGGTCAGCTCCTATGAAATGCAAAAGTGTCTGGGTCTGGAAGAATGCAAGTTTGTCATGCTTATCTGGCATGACTCGAGAATCTGTGTTGCATAGGCACGACAGGGCCCTCTTACCTGTCATGCAAAAACGCAGTTTGCCATGCGGAATACGTAAGACATGGCAGCCAAAAAATTTGTCATGCGTAGCTGCGTGCTGCAGTGCGTCTATCATTCACTTTTAGCATTACAAGTTTCCAGACCCAGACATTTTTGCATTTGATAGCTCCGGAGTGCGGACGTACTCTAGAAGCTCCTTATTTTTCACTATCCTGGGTAAAAACGTCCCCACCCCAGCGTCAAGATGGGGAACCTGTGACGCAAATCAGCCAGCTTCGGCTGTTCTTGCGCATGACATCAAGTTTGGCCTCGTAGTGTAAAAATCCTGTGCGTTTAGCTAGTTCACCAGCGTCACAGATCTGAAATCGCATGCTGATTGGAGCATCACACGAGGACCCGAGACTCAATTATAGAAAATGCTTCTCATGGGGCTCCGCATGAGAAACATTTCAAGCATGCAGATTTGCATGACAACTATGAGGTGGGGAAGTTTTTCTTCAGAATATTCGCCGTGAACTCTTCATCCAGATCTTCGGCCACCATCCCGTAGGAAATGTCGCACTTTCCGACGGCCACTGCAGTTTCGGAGGATTTTTTCTGGTCCTCTTCACAGCAATTCATGGCGAAATTTACATGGACAATTCTCTCGTTGGTCAGGAACTCGGACCCCGGCGGCGTGAAGGAAATTTCCGTTTTTGTAGTAGCCGCGGGAAGAAGAGAATTCGCCCACGCGGCCTGTTTTTTTTTTTTTTTTGGATATGATGTTGATCCACCTGCTGGATGTCCCGGTTGACAAAAGAGCCCGAACAACCGATCGCGACTCCAAACAAAAGCAGCCGAACTCACGCCAGAAATACCGTCCGACTTTCATCGTGTTTGACCTTTCCACCTCTTCAAAATGTATCGCATTGAAAAGCTTTTGTTGCTGCCTTCACAACACACAGCGCCCGCGCCCAGAAAAAACCCGAATCAGGTGCGGTTTGTCTCTACGAGTGCGCACTTGCACACGACTTGAGGAGGTGTTGGGAAGGCAAAAAGCAACCCAAAATCCTGCCAGAAATGCCGTCCGAGTCAGCTCGTGTTTGACCTTTCCACCTCGTGGAAATTATCACAGAGAAAAGTTTATGTTGCGGCATTCACAAAGACAACAGATCGCGCCCACGAAAAACCCGAATCAGGTGCGGTTTGCCGACAAGGGCGCGCACTTGCACATGACTTGAGGGGGTGTTGGGAAGGGAAAAAGCGACCCGAAGTCCTTCCAGAAATACCGTTCGACTCCCCTCGTGTTTGAGCTTTCCACCTCTTGAAAATTATCGCATTGAAAAGTTTGTGTTGCGCGCTTTTCTTTTCAATAGCAATTTATTTTGAAAATTGGCCAGGGCCGGGCGGGACTGCAATGTTCCCGAAAAAATTGAAAGAAAACGAACCTCGTGTATGAGCGTGCACAGGCGGCTGGCAGGAACGGCCAAGACAAAATTCGGGATGAGGTCGTTTTTGCAAAATTGGCGATAGCCGTGCCTAGCAAAATGCATTGAAAAATTCAAAAAAGACGCGCCTCGCGGGCGAACCCGGACAGGCGCGCGGCAGGAACGGCTAAGACGAAATTCGCGATGAGGTCACTTTTACAAGATTAGCGATAGTGTCACCATTAAAAATGCACTGAAAAATGGAAAAAACACGCACACTGCGTTTGAGGTCGGCCGGGTCACCGGCAAAAAGTGCAGACCTCAAGAACACCAAAAAGCCCGCCCGTGCCCTCCCCCGACCGCGGCTATCCGGAGCAAAGCCTTTGCGTTTGCCCGAGCAAATGATAATGATCTTCTATAGGCCACAAAATAAGACGAATGCGTGGCAACACAACAATGAAGCAGTTGTACTTCTTTCCCATATCATGTTGACAAATACCTTTTTCTTCTTTCCCGAAGTTCTACTACCGCCCGCTGGACCTTCGGAGTTGTCTTTTCTCCTCACAATTTTCGTCCCAGTGCTGGCAGCACTGCTGACCCACTCAAACGCCGCCTTCTCCCCGTCTTTCTCCACCGAGGTTATCAGCGGCGTTTATGCATTGCAAATGTGTCTGGGTCGTCTGGAAACTTGTGATGCTGGGGGCGTATCATGAGGAGGCCACAAGTGCTGGCTCAGCATGACAAGTATCTGAGCTCCTTCTACATGTTGTCTATTCTGCATGACAAACTGCGTTCTTTCTGCATGACAAAATTATGGAGCTCTTGGGTAATGTGCACGAGAGATTTAAGAGTCAGGCCAGACAAGCATGACAAACATGCATTCTTCCAGACCCAGACATATTTGCACTTGATAGCGTTGCGTCCCGGACGAAACACTGCCGGTCGTTCTGCTCGAACAGATATCCTCTGCAAAAGCATCGTACTTGTAGTAATCGCATTTATGCATGACAAATATCTTTTTCAAGGTAAATCAACATGAGAAATTCAATTTGTCATGCTGAGCAAATTTGTAATGCGATTACTACTAGATCTAGAACTAGTGCGATGCTTCTGCATTTCATAACAGAGCCGCTTCGTTCGCCGCGGTCGCGTGTAGCACGTTCTCGATGTTTGGTCCGTCGCACGTCACGCCGCCATATCAAATGTAAAAATGTCTGGGTCTGGAAGACTGCAAGATTTGTCATGCTGATCTGGCATGGCCCTTAAATCTGTATTGCGTGGCCACAAACAGCCTCTTCCGCCTGTCATGCAAAAACGCAGTTTCTCATGCGGAATAAGCAGCACAGAAGCACGAAGCAACTTGTCATGCTTGACGGCGCATTACAGTGCATTTGTTATTGACTGACTTGCATCACAAGTTTCCAGACCCAGACATTTTTGCATTTCATACACCACACACGTCCGCACCCAGCTGCGCGCACAGGTTCATCGCGTGCTTCAACGATTTAAACTTGTAGTCCTCGAGATTGACCACGCTGCCCGCAAGCGAAACCTTGTCGTGGATTGCCCAACCGTTAATGTAGCGCGACGTTGTACTAGCACTTCTTGGGGCGGATGAAGTAGAACCTGTTCCAGCTGCAGCAGTTCTTGTGCCACTACTGCTCTCAACAGAGGGAGGCACAGTCGAACTACTGCTCCCTACTCGAGTTGTGTAAGAATCCGTTGGGTAAGAAGCGGAAGGCGATACGAGAGAGTTCCACTGCTCGACGTAGCCCTTATGCATTGCAAAGGTATCGCATTCGTATAGATTTAAATGCATTGCAAATTGAAATTTCCTCAGCATTTGTAATGCATATTTGCCTTGGAAAAAAGATTTGTAATGCAAGACTTGCATTTGTATGAGTACGATACTTTTGCACAGGATAGCCCTCCATCGGGGTAGTCACGTTCCCGGGCGTGCTATGACAGTGCACAACTTTCCCTCCCCCTCACTTGTCATGCAAAATCCCAAATCCAGTCGCTCTCGCTTCCCTGTGGCTCTGTTTGCATGAGAAATTTCGAAAACCCAAACAGTACTACAGTAGGCACATAAATTTGCAATGCACGGGCTCCAGGGTCGCTGGCGTTTGTATTGCTGTTCATGCGATACACATGAGAGGGAGGGGGAGTTGTGCAGTGTCATACGTGCTCGGTGCGGCGTAGTAGGACTTCCAGGTCCGTCTTCGGGGCGACACACTGGACCTCGACACCCGGATCGGGTGGTTTGCCGGGCCGATATGCGGTTCTCAGGCGTTGCACTCTCATGATTTGTCATGCAAAAAGACTATCACTCGTCACACGATCAAGCCTTCTTCGCATGCCAACTTCTCGCTGCGCTAAATACCGCCAGAACAATCTGTCCGCCAAAATCTGTAATGCAAAAGGCGCAAGAATCTACTTCCTCCTTTCACTTTTGCCATTCTTGCATTACAAATTCATGATGTAACTGAGAATCTTCCCATAGCCGATGGTCCCGCTGTAGAGGATATCGTAAATCCGGTGTCGCTCATGTTCCGACATGAGTTTTTGAAGCGAGAAAAACACGATGTTCTCAGATTTCCCAAACCACCCGTCGGTAGTGACGAACGTGTTTTCCGATTCGTAGAAGTGGATGAAAAACAAGTGGTAGTGAAGAAAATCGTCCTCTGCGAAGGAAACCGTCGGCACCCGATCCGTCATGAAGGGGCCGAAACAGAGCCGGTCTAAAGCCCGCGGTAAGTACGTGAATGGGAAGAAGTAAACCAGGGACAACAAATCGGTCAAAAACAGCAACCCGCGGTTCGATCCTTTCACGGCTAACAAGTCCATCCCTCGGGTTTTGTGCGGATTGAAGAATTCCGTTTCGACATTGACGTCCTTTACCCACAGGTAGGGGAACGGATTCCGGACCCAGAAGTGACTGATAGAAACGTACGCCATGTCCATCCCTGCGAGAACGCCGATCCGCATGTAGCCGAGAACGGACAAGAAGCTGGAGGATTCGGACAACTTCGGTAAACACATGTATTTCTCCAAAGTGTGGTCCAGTTTGGACAACTGCCCGGACGCGACCGACTTGCACTGCAAATCCAGGCTGTTCTGCTGTTGCGGATCACTGGACAACACGATCCCCAACCCCCCCTGCTTCATACTGTATTTCGCCCGGCGGAGCCAGTTTTTCAACCAAGTAATGCTCCCCTTATCGACGCTGGTCAAGACGATCCGGTTATTTCGCTGAATTTTCGACAACCGCCAGTAGATCTCGTTGTTGTCCTCTTTGGTGAGCACCCGCTTCTGCAGGATCTGGGCCTGCATTTCCTCGGTTATGGACGATTGTGGGATAACGTTGACGGCGTGCGGTTTGGCTTGACTGGAGTTGGGGTCTCCGGAGGAGTTCTGTGCGCTGCTATCTGTGTTCGCATTGCTTGGGTGCACCGGGTAGTCGCTACTACCGTCATTTTCGTTGTAAAATTCGTCTTCATCTTCCGGTTGCTTAGCCGATACAGACGGTGTGGTGGCGTCCGAGACAGAGCCAGAGGCCGCTATATTCCCACCGGATGATAACGGCATCACCGCTTCGTCTCGTATGATCCCCGTTTCGCCCTCCGTCCCCTCGTTCTGGTAGTCTGCGTTGTATCAAATGCAAAAGTGTCTGGGTCTGGAAGAATACAAACTTGTGATGCGCATTTCAGCACACAGAAAAATCTCTGATGCATAGGTAGCAAAAGCTGCCCACTTTCTGTCACCAAAGTGGGGGATTTGTCGTGCGCAGTCGGCATTGCGGAAGCTTTTCGAAACCTGTGATGCTAGAGCTTCCATGCCAGACCTTCTGCGTCATGCAAAAACAGCATGACTCTTGCAGACCCAGACATTTTTACATTTGATACGTTGGAGACCGCTTCCATTTCCATGGGTTTTTTGATCAACTTAATGATCGACTCTTTCACCTGTTCGGTGTAGAGCCCCATGTCACCCACCCGCCAGTCCCAGGGGTTCTTCGAATCCATATATTTCGGTGGAGAGTCTAAATCGTCGGTCAACGCCGCTTCCGGCAGATCCAATTTTTGCTTCTTCATCTCGTTCAATAGATGAACAATCCCAAAGAGCCGCCAGCGGGAATACAGCAATTGGTGCTTCCGGTTCCATATAAAATGCAAATATGGCTAGGTCTGGGAGCTTGTGATGCAAGGAAGGGAATTATAGGGAGCACACTGATGCATTATTTAATGCGCTGCCAAGCATGACATAGTTTTTCCGTGGTTCTGAGTTGCGTACTCCGCATGAGAAACTGCGGCTTTGCATGACACGGAAGAGGAGCTCATCTTCGCGGCCACGCAGTACAAAGCTCAGAGTCAACATGCCAGACCAGCATGACAACTCTCGCTACCTCCTACCAGAGCACCCAGACATATTTGCGATGCTTATTCCAGATCTGCTCGATCTGCTGGAATCCCCGCTCCAACATGCGGTAAACATCGCCGTCGGAAAGTAGTATCGCGAACATGCGGAGCGCGTTGGCGGCGATAACGCCGAATGGACACTGGTTGATGACGTCGGAAATGGTGGAGGAAGTCGCACTATCAACTGCAAATAGAAATATGTCTGGCTCTGGAAGAGTGCAAACTTGTATTGCGTGTCGAGGAGTCCAGAAAAATCTGTATTGCATGAAAGCAACAAAAGCGCCACAGTTTGGTGATCAAAAAATACAGTCTGTAATGCGTACTAAGGATGAGAATGCTACACTACTCTTACAGACGCAGTCACTCATGGCCATTCAGCATCACAAGTTTCCCGACCCAGACATTTTTGCAGTGCATACGCACTGTGCTCTACACTGCTCTGCGACTTGAAGATCACCCCGTCCGCGTGGCTTATCGCCCACCCGTATCCTGTGTAAAGACGTCTCCTCCCCAGGGTTGTCATGCAAATCTGCATGCTGAAAATGTTTCTCATGCGGAGCCCCATGAGAAGCATTTTCCAGTGGTGTTTTGGAATTTGTCATGCTCCAATCAGCATGATATACTAGATCTGTGATGCTGCTGAGCTAGCTCAAACAGCATTGCACTACGGGTCCAAATTTGTCATGCAAAACAGCCAAAGCCTGTGGATTTGCCTAGCCGAGTCCCCATCTTGACTATGGGGTGGCGAGGTTTTTGCATAGGATAACCCGAGGCTGGTTCGGTCGGTTTTCGTTTTCTTTTCCAACAGCCACTCGTTCGCTTCGGTCTTTCCATTGCAAACATGTCTGGGTCTGGAAACTTGTGATGCAAGGAAGGGAATAATGATCTCACTGTAATGCGCTGCCAAGCGTGCCATGTTTTTTCGTGGGTCTGAGTTGCGCATCCCGCATGAGAAGCTGCATTTTTGCATGACAGAGAGGAGGAGCTCTTCGCGGCCACGCAATACAGAGCTTAGAGTCATGCCAGACTAGCATGCCAAATCTCGCAATCACCCAGACCACCCAGACATATATGCATTTGATACGGTCACCCCCGTCGCCAAAGCCCCCCGGAACTCGTTCCATTCGATCACATTCGGGTCGGGAGATAAGATATGAACTGCAAAAGTATCGCACTCGTACTAATTACATTTATGCATTACAAATCTTTTTCTTACTCTTAGGGTAAATCTGCATGGCGAATTTAGTTTGTAATGCTGGGCTAATTTGTGATGCAATTTATACTAGTACGATGCTTTTGCTTTGCATATAAGATGCAGTCGTCGGCGTTGTCGTCTTCTAAAAAAGTTGGCTTCCCGGTCGCGGAGTCCACGCTGTCCCAGATTTTCTGTTGCTCAATGTCGAGAAGCTTCAACACCGGCCATTGGGAGGACATGAGAAGGTAGAAATCGGTCGGGATGTGGTAAAAGCAATCCCGGACACTGTCCATCGACTCCGCGCCCACGCTATGCTGTGCAAAAGTATCGCACTCGTATAAATGCATTACAAATCTCCTCAGCATGAGAAATAAAATTTGTAATGCGAAATTGCCTTAAGAACAGGATTTGTAATGCATGAGTGCAATACGAGTACGATACTTTTGCACAGGATACACGCAGGCGACGAGTTTTCCCAGCGGGCACCCGGGGATTTGCATATCACATGCAAAAATGTCTGGGTCTGGAAGAATGCAGACTTGTCATGCATATTTCTCATGACCCATGACGCCAGTAATGCTTGACCTAGCATCGCAGACTTTTAGAGGGCTTCCTGATGCACCTTCCGCATGAGAAATGCCCTGTCCGTGTAGCAAAAACTAAAACTATCCCCCTCTTGCTGGTCATGCAATACAAATTTTTTTAGAGTCCAAAAACAGCATGACAAGTTGCAATCTTCCAGACCCAGACATTTTTACAGTTGATATTGCAAGGCGTAGCGGGAAACGTGGTAGTCGGGGGGTTCGTTTTTCGCCACCGCGTCGGAAACGAGGTTGAGGTATTTGGTCCAAAAGGGGTCTTCTCGTACGCAATCGGGGTCGTAGAACTGCCGCCCGACGTTCGTAGCGGACGCGGTTGTTGCGACAAGCAGGGATAGTACTGGCAGGAGATGTATGAAATGTAAAAATGTCTGGGTCTGGAAGGTTGGAACTTGTCATGCTAAATCTGAATCATGTAAAAATCTGTGTTGCATGAGTGCCAAAAGCTGTCCAGTTTTGACCTAATCGAGAGGCAGTTTCTCATGCAGGATAGGCATGATAGAACTCTCACGGAATCTGTCATGCTATGTCCTCCATACCAGAACTCATGGGTCATGGAAAACCTGCATGACAAGTCTGGCATTCTTCCAGACCCAGACACTTTTACATTTGATAAGATGCTGGAGTAGTCCCCTGCTTGCACATAGGAAAAATGTTGATCCACCACGACCTATTGCTCCTCTTCTTGGTTTTTTCCTTCGTCCGTTCGTCTGACAGTCGTTCCTGTGGAAGTTGTCCACCTGCTCGTCCCGCGATAGCATTTCTCGGTCGTGTAGGCCCCCGCTGCATCTTGAAGAAGATGCAGTCATCTTTGTGCAATTGGCACAAGAAGTAGCTCTCGCAGGCGCGGTTCTTGCAGAAGCCGCAGCACTTGTAGCTGTAGTTGCTCTCCTCTCAGCTGAACAAGACGAGGTAGGACTAGTACGAGAGACGACCATGCGACAGGAGGTTTCATCCACGACCCCCAACATCGCCGCTCGCTTCCGACGTTTGCGTCTTGCAGTAGAAGCTCCGCCTGTTGTTCCGCCAGGACAAGAACTGCGTGAGGACAGTGTAGATGATGGTGATGCAGCTCCTGTACTCATTTTTCAGCACTGTG